ATTCAGAATCAAGAAGCAGTATTAGATTTTAAACAATATCTCAACAATTTGTGACTCATCATCAAATCCAACGGTAAGTATGGAAAGGTGAATACATTTAGAAGTCATTTTTGACAGAAATATTCCATTTATTGTTTAAACTCGTTCAGAAAAGATAGGTAAAGCGCGAGTTGTGCTTAGTAAGACGGAAATTAGATCAAAAACCCTAGATCTAAGTTAGCCATGAGTATATTAATAAAAGATCCTTCTCTTCTTTGTGGTCGCTTTAACGAACTGGTCGTCTTTTTACTTTGCTCCATTCCTCGCAAGAATAGAATCTTCTGTAACACCTCAAACATAGAAAAAGACTCATAACTCGGGGATCTAGACAACTTTTCTAGATCGCAGTTTAAGAAAAACTCTCAGTATTATGGCCCAGATAGAATGATCACGGACATAAAACAAAATTTAATTCGCCTAGGACTTAATTTAATTTGAGATTTAGGAATACATTTTAGAGCTCTTTAATTTTTTTTCTTTCCAAGACCTGGACCTGCAATTTTGTTTTTGTTATACCGGGAAAAAAACGATGCAATTTAATGGACTTAAAAACGAACTCAAGAACATATGACACGATTTATTTTTCCTGATGTTTGGACAAATACTAAAGCTACCGGGGGTTAAAGATTATTCAAATTTCTGGCTTTTGAACAAATGTCGAGAGCTTGAAAATTTTCCAAGACCATTTTTTTACATTGAACCAACGGGAAAGGTAATTTTTATCTGAAAATTCAGGTAACCTCTTCAAAATAGGAATTCAATAAGGTTCACGTGCCGCACATAAAATGCAATGACATGGTAATGAATTCCACTGGATTCACTGGACCAGTCCACATGTCATGCTGGTGAAGGTTAAGTGAAATTCAAGTAAGCTTTTCGTGATTTCATGGTATGAACAATACTAGATAGAGCAGGAATAAGGGCGTAACAGCTTTTGTTCGATTATTTTTTGTTCGTTGTGCTGCCATTTTTCCACCAATGAGAGTGCAGCACATGTTTGAAGCGATCGGTGATGATCCTCTGAAGATGTTAATGCTTATATCGGCACGATATAACCGATTACAAATATTTTACTTTTCGGTTCGTTAATCGATTAATCAATTATTCGAATGAAAATCAGCCATCACTAGATGAATGTGAAACGTCATTTCAAATATAAGGACCGTACATTAATAATGATACAATTTGAAAGGGACCGGGGCTAATCACACATTACGTCTCTACGGTAACTGAAATAAACAAGAGTGTTCACCGGTTGGTTAACGTTTCCATATGTTCGCAACTCTTCTCGTCAGACTTTACTCTAAGTTTTTAAAGTCAAATTCTTTACTCTCAACTTTGGTCGTAAAAAAGTGACTTTAGTGGCTAAATTTTAAGGAATAGTGACTGTAGCTACTTTGTGATGAAAAAAGTGACTTTTTAGTGACTGACTTAAACATAGTGACCAAGTCACTAAAAAGTGACTTGCTACCAGCCCTGCTCGTCGAGTGTTCGAAGATCGGCCAGGTGGTGAATCTCAGAATTACGAGTTCGCGGTGGAATGTTAAGGATCATTCTGAGGATCTTGTTTTGGGTCCTCTGAACCTACCATACTCAATAGCCGGCAGAATGATCTGCTTGTGGACAGCAAGCTTGTTTTTGAGGGACAGGGTGGACTTCCTGTTTATCAGAGGGTAGAACGACCTGATCAAGAAGTTACACTTGGTGGATGTCTTGTTCACATGGGAATAGCAATTTGCAATTTGTGGAGACGACTTCTTTGGACAGCAGAGGATACCAAGGCCTTAGCCTGATTGGTAAGGTAAGGTAAGCTATTTCAAGGTCATTCTGGTGGACAAAGCCGAATTTTGTCACTATCAACAAGGCATAACAAGTAATAAGGACTAAGATGTGTTCCTTTGATTACTGAAAAATCCTGTTCCCGTAGTTTGAAGTAGTCAGGAAAGCTTTTGGCAACGCTGCCGTATAAGGGCGAACGTAAATAAAAAAAAACGATCTCCTTCTCTTTTTATTTCAGGCATAACATTTGATAACGGCACGAAAGCATTTGTAAACAAACTTTCTAAGGCCCTTTACATGTGAACCAAAGAACTCTCACGTAAACCACCAACATCATCGGATAGGGGCAACTATCACCTTTCCGAAAGTGGTATTGGTTTGCGTGGGCGTACTTTGGTTCGCGTGTAAAGGGGCTTAGAAAGTTTGTTTACAAATGCTTTTGTGCCGTTATCAAATGTTATGCCTGGTTTTCTTTTCGCTGCAAAATAATACGTCGGTATACCTTCAGGTGAATTGCAAATATATGAAATATGCGTTTTGATTTGGCGAATTGTAACATCAAGCAACGATAACTAACCGTTTCGCCTTGTTGGTTCATTCACGAAGGCCAACACACTGTGGCTGTTTGCTCAAAGAAGAAAACTAAGATGAAACTGTTGGAAGAAAAACTTTCTATTTTAGTGTCCTATTTCACGGCTTTCACGGTCCCTTTCATCCAATGATTACCCCCGTATGCAAGGTAATTTTGTGGTTTTGCTGCCCCCTCGGTAGAGATGAAATTTTGTGTACTTTTTATCAAAACACGAGGGCACGCAATACAAAGAACCGATGCGTTGAAGTTAAAATGCAATCAAAAGTACTTAAAATAATTAATGCGTTTTGAAGTAGTACTGACGGTAATTAAAATTATCTATCCGTAATGAATGTAATTGAAAGTATTGAAAATGTAATTAATGTACTTTAATTACGAAATTTCAACTGTAATTAATGGAGTTAAGAAGTAGTTAATGTACATTGTATAATTAATGGAATTAATTTCATTACAGCTGTTGCCTGCGTGGGAGTTAAAGGTTATTGCGTGCCCCTAGTCAAAACAATCACACTATATTCAGAGGTGTTTATTTTTAGTTACTCGATTAACAACTAATCGATTATTTTTTGTTAGCTGTGCTGCCATTTTTCCACCAATGAGGGTGCAGCACATGTTTGGAACGATCGGTGATGATCCTCTGGAGATGTTAATGCTTATATCGGCATGATATAACTGATTACAAATATTTTACTTTTTGGTTCGTTAATCGATTAATCGATTATTCAAATGAAAATCGGCCGTCACTAGATGAATGTGAAACGTCATTTCAAATATAAGGACCGTACATAAATAATAATGCAATTTGAAAGGGACCGGGGCTAATCACAAATTACGTCCCCACGTTAACTGAAATAAACACGAGTGTTTACCGGTTGGTTTGCTGAAGATGTAACGGTTTAGTAGTAGTGTTAACCAGAAAAAAAATAATTATAATAAAACAACGAAATTTCAATAATTTTTACTGTTGAATTTCGAGTACATTAAAATTTACTGTTAAATTATTGTACAGGAGAAAAAATAAATTTCGATTTTTAACGATACAATGCTCAAACAACGAAAATTAGTCTGGTGAGCTCAAATTTGTTCGAGAAAAATTACTTTTTTTTTATTGTTAAGATGCTTAACAACCCCCCTTTTTTACTGTAAATTTCTCAAATACCATGATTTTTATTGTTATCGTTGTGATGTTATGGTAATGGACAAAAATGTCCAATGTTTTGACAGTAAATATTATGGTTCAATGACAATGAAAATCATTGTATTTTTATTGGATTTTTTTTTCGGGAAAAGAAACTAGGTATTATTGAGCATATAATAGCTGAACATGTTTTTGGAGCCGAGTTACTAAAAAAAGAGAGAGTCAATGAAGAGAATCGATAAATGAAGATCGTTTTATTTGAATTTCCGGAAACAATTTTCTCGCCTACGCAAAGCAACACTGTAATTCTTGGGAAAAGTTTTCCCTATTCAATGCTGCTTTTAATTTGCGTTCGGTTGACAAGAAATGGACTATTTATTTTGTTTATAAAATGTGAGACTCTTTTCATTTGTTGGCCTTTAACATCTTAAATTGGTTCCCTTTCTTGCTAGATGGAATTACTCTCCTCCAGTCTATAAATATAGCGAGTATAGTATAATTTAGTTACGAACTAGCAGTTTAACACTTAAAACATTCCGAATCATGGAGACGCACTGTCTTTCGTATGACAGCAGTTGTACACGTTATTTCAAAACTACCCAAATTTGGATAGAATCCACCCAGATCGGTCAAAACTGAATCTACTACATAATAGGTGAACTATGTTGAGTGTGACAAGTTGACAAATGAACATTGACATGAATCCGATCGACTTTTTTCATTTGTCAACTTGTCACTTCCAACATAGTTTACCCATTTTTGGGTAGGTTCAGTTTTGACCAATCTGGATGTATTATCCCCAAATTTGGGTAGTTTTGAAATAGCGTGTAGCAGCCCTAATATTTTTTTTCTTCTTATCGAAAAATGTCTCCAACATTGTTTAAGACCCAACGGCGCCGGTGGTGTAGTGGTAAGCGTGATTACCTCTCACCCCAGCAGGCCTGGGTTCAATCCCAGTCGGCGCCGCGGGGATGTTCTGAGGCATAACATCTCTGATCACGCCTTCCTTCGGATGGGAAGTAAAGCCGTTGGTCCCCGGTTCATGAGTTGATGGGTCGATAGGTAGGGTCCAGGTGTGGGAGCTGCCTTCCTGGCACGTCGGTAGCATTGGTGCTCAGCACGGAAAACAAGATCGACGGAAAAAACAAACCAAAGGAAAAAAAATTGTTTGAGACTCGATTGCTCCAATGCATGCAGGAATTATCCTAGATTATCCTCAAAAATATTCTCGAATATGAAGAAAATAAATAAAAAAATCCCTCAGTCTATGAGTGACCAATTCTGCCGGCTGAAAGTCTCTTTAATAAAGCAATCTAATCTATGAGTGACCTGCGTTTTTTTTTTCCGAATTTGAGAAAACGGAACTCAACGGTCGAGAGGATATTTTTGTTGGAGTTCCTTGTTTCTCTGGGTTTCTTTCTTTCTTTCCAAAGCAATAAATTCAAGAAGCAATTTTACAGTTACGGTAAAGATATATTTCAAACTTTGAAAGAAATATGAATGACACCCTACTGCAAATATTAAACCGCTGCTAATAAGAAATCATTTGACCTACGTGTAAAGCCGCACGGTATTATCCGCTCCGGACGAAAACAGCCACGGTTGGGTCGGATGAAACACAACGTCGAACGCACCGAAATCATTCGTCCGCTCGTGATTTTCCAGCCGCCTTAACGGGACAATCAACGGATTCTGCAGCAAGTCACTGGTGTGGAAAGGAAAAATGTCATTATTTGATGTTTAAATGTGGGTTCCACTAGAACACATACTTGTAAACCATTCCGTGGGAGACAATCACGCTGCGATCGTCACTGGCCGATGCAAACAGAGGATAGCGCAGGTGGAAGGCTACGTTTCTAATGGCTGAGTAGTGCAATTTTAGTTGTTGGTAGGGACGAGTGGACAAATCCAAATCGAACCACATCATTTTCTTTTCGTAGGTTGCCACTAGAAGGTTATCACCCTTCGGATGAATTGCCATGCTGGAAATCCATTTGCAGCTGGGAAACAGCTTTTTCAGAAGTTCCTGCTTAACCAAATCGTACACTCGAACGTGTCGTTGAGTCTGCAACAATTGGAATCAGTATTAGGAAAATGATAGGCAATTTTTGTTTGTTTGAAATACTTACGGCAACGAAAAGGCAAGGTTTCACCGGGTGGAACAGCACGCATTGAATCAATCCCTTACTCTTCGAGAACGGGAACTGTGATCTACGCTTGGACAGCTGATGGATCAACACCGAACGATTGGCAGCTTCGGGCATCACGGTAGCAAAGTAATCTCCTCGTGCGTGCCATGTAACTTGTTTGATTTCCTTAAAGTGGTTAATCACAATTCGAACACCAGATTTTTGCTCTTCTTCCGTGAAATCTACCCACTGAACTGCGGTGGTGATTCGGTCGTTGTCCACCGTTTCGGATTTGGGTGCTTCCGCGAGTAGATCGTCCGTCTTCTTCACGATCAAACTGTCACCGACTTGGGGATTGATGAGCAGAACACGCTTTCCACTAGCCACCGCAATGAGAGATATTTTGCTGTTCGGACACCAACCTACCGAGCGCACCACATCGCCAGTCGGGATAGTTTTAATGCAACGGGCCGTCGAAACTTCCCAAACTAAAATGAAAGCAAACATAAAAATTTAAGCAACCTTAAATAAATAGCTAAGAACTCACTTTTAACAGTTTGATCATCAGAGCCCGTAACCAGGTACTCTCCTTTCGGCTCAATACTAATCGAACGAATCATGTCGGTGTGTCCCTTGAAGATCAAATTCTGCAAGGTCGGGAACGGCTGTAGATCCTTCGGTGAGGGCAGCTTTGGAATAAGATATTCCGGTCCTACGGTGACCCTGGTTCGTTTACCGCGGGGACACAAATAAAGATCCAGACAACGAAGGAATCGCTCGCGAATATATTTGTCGTAGTAGGGCACCTCTCGAAGTGAATTGAACTTTTGAGGAATGTAGTGAAGCTTCCTCTTCCATGGTTCCTCCTCGTGACTGTTCCATTCTGCCAATTCTCTCTCGTTAAACAAATACTCCGGAGGAGGATTGTACGATTCAGCATGACCGGGAAGTGGACGCTTCGGAGCAACCACGTGATCGTGAATACGACGCATTTCCTCTTTTGCGTGATCGCTCTCCCAGATCATGTAGAACTTGGGTCCTCGATTCTGAGCGGCCAACTTCTCTGTTTCGGCACGAGTCTTTGCCCAACCCATCTTGAGAGCATGTACCAGGCGACCAATCTTGTGCTTCTCCGACTTGCTAGGCAAAAACGACCGCTTGTGATCAGGAATGTTGCGGATTGGCATCTTTTCCACTTCCGAAGAAAACCACTCGATCCATGGCTAAAAAAAAACAACGAAAATGAGTTGAATAAAAACATAACACTAAACCACGATTAATACCTCATAGTCCTCGTACTGTTCATCCGGATTCCTTCCGGACATAATTCTCTTAATCAACCCAATGTCCTCGTCCGTCAAGACCACATTCTGACCCGTTTGGGGATCCTTAACCGTACGCCAAAAGTTGGGGTCTTCCATCTTCTTAAGGAAGTCATCGATGGCATCCGATTTCGGCGGTTTGATCAACCTATTTCCGTCCCAATCGTAGCCAATATGCTTATACTCATCGTACCAATGCATGGGAATATTTCCGACAGTATTTCTTATGTCTTCTTCATCCGAAGTGTCCCCAGCTGCGTATTCATCTTGGTTCTTTCCACCCTTGAATCGCGATTTAGCTTCCGGAGGGAAAATACCGACACCCTTAGTCTTAGTGGGAACTATTCCCAAGGCAGCGTCAATTTCCCCAAGTTTATCATCTTCTTTCTGAGCTGCTTCCAAAAGTTCCCGAGTTTCCTCATCGTCATCTTCGTCCTCCTCATCTACCTCACCACTAACAGAAAGTTTTTCTTTAGTGGTCTTTTTCCTTCCACCAACCACATCCTTAATCGCTTTTGGTTGATCCGGTTCTTGTAGATCTTCCTCAAATTCCAATTCATCATCATCGCTATCTTCCTCTTCGGGCTCGGGGGAACTATCACTGTTCACATCATCCGCAGAGTCTACCTCCTCTTCGTCCGCGTCTTGATCTTCTTCCTCCTCCTCCTCCTCCTCCTCCTCTTGACCAGATTGATCTTCGAAGTCAGAATCTGCACTTTCAAATGTCTGAACTTCTTCGTCATCGGATTCCTCGATCTCACCTTCGGAATCCGTGCTGTCATCGTCGTTCTGGTTGTCGATGTTTGCTAGCAAGTTTCCCTAGACAATTATACAATTTTCCATTAAAACGAGCACTGACCAAAACTTATTTAGAAAACCCACCTCATCTGATTCATAATAATCGCTGGCACTTTCATCCTCGGCAATGTCCGCGGTCTTAGAATGCTGCTTTTTACCGAATTTATCTATCTTTTTCACTTCAACCGAAGTGAGGACCTTGCGCTTGGTAGCTTTCTGCTTATTTGCTACCATTTTTCACTATTTGTACGGCAAATATTCAACAATTAAAAAATGGAACACCAACGATCCAAACTGCACGTGTACGGCGCAACCAACAAACGAACCATGCGTGTTTTGATGTTTTGTTTATGAATTACGAACGCGAGCAAACTGTCAAATCAGATAGTGTCAAAATAGATTCCCGGTGCTGAAAATGAAGCGTTATCTATATGGCGTTAGGCACGGAAACATAAATATACTCATCGATGATTAATGTTTAACCATTTTAAGTGACTATCTTTTTTCTACTGTCGTACCATTTCAAGCACTCTTGAGAAACCCCGCTCATACTCATTATAATTAGATTATAGAGGAAATGGCTCTAATATTGGCCTATGGATCTAAGATTGGGCCCATCGCTAAAAGTTTACTATTTATCAATTTTATCAAGATGAACGCGTCATTATGATGGTACTAATGGATATTTTTGGTCGCTATTGAAAATTTAGTCGATTGCTGAATTTATGTATGGGCCCAAATTAGATACATGTAGGCCAACATTACCTACATTTCCCCTATATACTCAAAAGATTTTCAAATCTAAAATGATTAAAAGTTACGCTAAATCACAATAACTCGTCTAACCGACGCATAACTTGATTTAAAGAGAGAGAATACACAACAATCATATGAAACTAACGATTTTAAATTGGCTCACTACTTGACTAGCCCTTGGTCCCAAGCAAACGATTAACGTACCCCATTCTAGTCGAAATTCTACCACTACACAATGTTTGTTTTGATTCGCTATGAAAGTTTGACAGATAAAATGAGGAGTTAGCCGATTTTCCTATGTTTCGAGGGGTGAATCGATTAGCTTGGGACCGAAAAGAGTACCAGAGCTGAACAAAAAAGTTGAGCACGTTATTTCAGGACCTTCTATTCTTACTCACCAAATTTAAATCGCTGGAATTTAGCAAAAATTAGCTGATTTTGGACTTGATGAAAGATCAGCAAACTATTGCTGCTGAAACTTCCAGCAATTCGATTTCTGACAAAATTACAAAATTTGAATGAATCTTCAGTAAACATTTTATTTTTTGCTGCAGTAGAAGATTAATTTGCAGCGATTAACTGAGTTTCCAGTAAATTTCTGGAAAATATTACTTAAACAACAGCTGTTTTTACTGATAGCACGTTTTAATTGTATTTTACTAATTGATTTATTTCTTTTCTTCAATATACAACACTATAAAACACTTCGATAAATACAATTAAAGCACTATACACTTGAAGGCACATGTCATTAGTAACCACCGTTGATTGGAACGACCCTCTCGGTAGGGACCTTGCAATTTGGTGGCAGCTTTGGTGGTTTCAATTCGGTTCAGACTGGCAGCAGTAGGTCACCTGGATCACTTTCGTTAAAACTTTCCATTTCGCCACATACAAACAGACATAACACTCGCAAGTTGTTCATCTAACAAGCATTTAACGGTCAATTTAAAAGTATTGTAGTTGGTAGTACCGCCACCTGTGGCGCACATAGTCAATTCCCTTGCGTTCGACGTTTACACACTACCGCCATCTGTTCAGCGTACTACCCACCACATTGTACTCAACAGATGGCGATAATGTTTTAGCGACGATGTTTTACAGTGAGAAATATTCAATCTGTTATGTCTGTTTGTCTGTGATTTCGCGTTGAAGTCCTGAGTTTAACTTTGTTCACTTTAGGGATTTTTTCGACACGGAATATATAAAATAATAACACTAGTCTCTTGTTCTGAGTTCTAGTAAAAACTAAACAGATGTTCATTGAAAGGCCTTTTTACATGTAAACATTCGAACTACAAAGGATAACTGCATTCATTCTGTTCATCCAATTCATTCTATTCAAACCATCCTAATGATGGGTTCGGAACAGTTGGTCCAATACGACCGCACTCCTACACTGAGCTCGTCAAGCATAAGTTCGTAGCTTTCAAATCCCTTCGTGCTGCTTCTCCGTCCACGGTGAAAATGGGAAAATGTTTCCGATGAACAGAACGCGATAGAGCCACCGAGAAATAACGCCATTAGGTGAGATTGGGCAACTTCAAGCATTGCTTGAAACTGCAATAATAATGAAGAATAATGAAACAGTTTTCCAATTTTTAAAAGAAAACTATTAACTTTTGGATTTGTTGAATATTTTTGGAATCGTGGCGTTGAAAAACGTGTCAATAACAATGTTAAAATGTGTTGTCAGGTAGCCTACACGGGATTTGCGCGACCTGTCATTTAAGTAGACAAGAAGTTCATCTTGCCAATTTGTTTGACGTTTGTCTATTTTACTGGATTCCAGTAATGCTAAAAATGCTAATACAATCGAGGGGGGCGACACATCTAAATCTCAAGTCTAGATGCTTAAACAATCTCCAACTAGCTAATCAATCTTCGAAAAATCTTCTTTCATTTCTCGCATCTACTTGCATCGTACATCATCTTTTTGCAGGAAATCTTCAGAATCGTCGTCAATCTTCTTTCTATCTACTCAGCGTGCACGCAGCTAGCCATAGCAAAAGCACAATCTTTCCTGCATCGTAGATAGAGTCGTCCCCCTCGAATACAATACTGAATTCCAGCATATAATTGTTTTGCTGAACTCATTTCAGCAAACTATTTTGCTGAAACTCAAAATTGAAATTTGGTGTGTAGAGTTACACAGCAAAAATAAAATGTAATATCGATCAATGTAATTCAAGCTGATGTATGGAATAATGATGGAATAGCAAAAATCAGATACAATATTACATCAATGGATGTAATTTTGTTCGCAAAATCGATGTACATCGTACAACGTTATATTACACAACCGATGGATTGACCTGGTTGCACACACAAAAAACAAAAATTGTATCATTAAAAATACTGACCTTTCAATTTAAAAGTATCCACTAATTCGTTAATCTAGCAATGACAACATTTAATACAACTAGGTAGTTTTCAATTTAAAGTAAATGTTATGTTTTTGTCTTGTAGTTCTGAAAGTGCAAATTTTCAGATCGAAAATTGTTGAGCTGTCAAAATCACTTCTTCATTGGGTGGACTTCTACTCATTTATGAGTAGTTTTAGAATAGTGTGAGTGCATAAAGAGCGAAAACAGTCACGTGTGTATAGGGATCAAATGAGTTTAGCAAACGTTTGCCTCAATTCCGTTAGTAAAATGTGCCCCAATTCGATCTGTTTCAATTCAAAAATGGAAGACCGCGTAATTATTCATTCGCGGCGATCGAATGCGGCCTGAAACGTTATTTTTAAACCGATTTTATGTGGACAATTTTATCTACCGGCTTGAGTGTTTGGACATGTGGAAAGTTCCGCCATCCATCAAAAATAGGAACATGTAGCGGGATTTTAATAAGAGGAAGCATAGTCGCTCGAACACACCACATTCGAGACAATCTGCCGGATTGCGGATAAAATGATAGTAAGTATAGGCACCATAACGCATTGAAAATAAATTATCTGAAGTAAAATCTTCCCCTTGTTTTTTTTTTAGATCCAGAACAATTTCTCGTATCCGTTAGATCCCTCGTTGGATCCCCAGTGGAAACATTCCTATGCGCATCTGAAAGTGGCCAGTAATTCGGTGGAAATGGCCCGTTCGTCAAGCAATCCACATTTACATTGGAAAACAGATTTACATATAAACGGGCCTGTGGACTAGGAAATATCGCAAATCGCGTCGTTTGCTGCAGCTGCCCGATCAAGCATTCTTGGATAGGAGGATTTAGAAATTATTGAGCAGTGCATAATAAATATTAGAAACTGTAAATTTTACACAGCACTAGAACTTAAAATAAAAAAAAATATATTTTTATGATGAAAATTTTGTTATTTCAATTGAAAACTTTGACATGACATTTCTACTGTATCAAACTTTCATGCCAAAAAGTTTGTTGTTAAACAAAATTAAACCAGTATTAATTTCAACACTGTAATGCTTTTCATTTGACAGTTGTACAATTTATTTTGAAATTTTAAACTTTTAAAAGTAGTAAACGGGCAACTCTTAATGTGAAAGTTGGCTGACTTTCATTTTAAAAGTGAACCGCTTTCTACCAAAAAGAACCAATGCAAACTTTTAATTTTAGCAACGATCTTTTTGATTGAAGCAATGACTTTTTTTTTGTGCAGCAGTTTGGATGTAATATTCAACAACTTTTTTTTTCTGTGTGCCTCTATGGAATACACACTTCTAGCCGAGGGGCGATTTACTTGTGAATTTTCGATTCAGCCAACCTACTGATGAACGTATTGATGTATTTTTTTATCGAATAAACGTGTATTTTGCGTAATAATGTATTATTTTGTACCTTTTGAATACCGTTTTTCAAATTTCGGACGATTCAAATCTCGGACACTTTCATTTTTAATTAAATATTACATCCAGTTAGAAACAAAGTAATAATGTTAGATGATCGTGTAGCTTAGCTTAGCTTAGCTTAGTCTGACTGCACGTATCGATAGTTGCACTCCGTGATTGATCTGAACCAGTGAAATTGTACAAAGAATCAACTGAATGGGGCTTGGTAGTAACCTGCCATTCTCAGTGTACATGTTCCAGTGACTCCTACCTTTAAAGATCAATAACGTCACCGGCCACGTCCTTGCAATCAGGTGGGAGAGGGAAGGAATGTTAGTGTGTGACTTTTGTTGTTTTGGGACCGTGTTTACCTCTGCATCCCACAAAAGTCACAGGAAGGAGGTTTTGTTAGTGGGTTAGGTTCGTTGGATCAGGATTCACCTTGATAAGTGATGCGATCTTTTGTTTTGTGTAGTTATTTATAAGTGTTTTCGATTTATGCTCTAAACAGCCGGCTGTCTAGAGATGTAGATCATTATTAGATGTGTGTATACCGATTTAAACCAACAATAAGGATACTGTTGGGGCCCCTCACAAAGTGTGATGATGGTTTATTTTATTTTATCAATGACCAAAATAATTAATTATAAGCGGTTTGAACCGATTTAAACCAACAGCAAGGATGCTGTTGGGGCCACTCACAAAGTGTGATGGTGGTTTACTTGATTGAATATAAAATAATTATTAG